GACTTCCCGCTGGCCCCCAGACTGCACATGGAGTTCCGTATTCCTCCTTTGAAATGTACAAGAGCCCCAACGGGGGCTTTTGTACATTTCAAAGGAGGATTGTGGAAGTGCCTATTACTAGTCAAGTAGTTGATGGAAATTCTATTGACTACTTGACTAGTCAATTAACTGCTAGTTAAATCCTTATTTCAGAGCCTGGGTCAACTGACTGGGAATTACAAGGCTAGAACTACAAGGCTAAAAATAACAGTGTAACTGTTCCTATTGGAGCTGGAGCCCAAGCTCTGAAACTCAGCATCAGCCCAAGTGGGAACCTCAACATTACAATTTTTAGCCTTCTTGCAGAACCCCAGGAAGTCCCTGTCAGTGGAACTGGCCTCTGAGACATGCTGCCTCAACAATTTATTTTTCAGTGTAGATATACCTTAACTTGGAGCTGAAGGCTAGAAGCATTTATAAAACCCTGCTGGTTATCTTAGTAATTGTTTCATATTCTTCAGAAGGATGCCTACCACCTTAACCAGGTCCCATCTCTTCTGAGGGAGTGTTATATGAACTGTAATTAACTCCACCTAATGTACTTTTTGTTTCCAGATACCTTAGCTCAGCTCCTTTCCTTGTATTTTTGTTCCTGGGTTTGTTTGAACTCCAAACATAATTCAAGGGTAGCTGTTAAATTCAGTTTTACTTCTCCTACATATGTAATGCATGCCTCTACAACTATTATGAAACCCATTAAATGTCCATTTGATCCTCCAGGTAGTACATTTATGCTCCAAATACATTTTGTTTAGCTGAAACTCCAAACTGCCCAATGTACAAACAAAAATGTTCATAAAGATCAAGGAGTCTTGGGGTACCTTAAGAACATTTATTTGAGCATAAGAGTTTGTAGATCAAAACCACTTGGTCAAATGCATGAGTGGAAATCAGAGAGAGGGAGCAATTTCCATGCCATGTACCTGAACAAGTGGTTTTGACCCATGAAAGCTAATAGTCAACTAAATCTGTTAATCTTTAATGTGCCACAGGACTCATCACTACTTTTGCAGATACAAACACTGCTATTTCTTATTTGCATGAGGCCAGGAGTTTGTTACTGACACAGCCTACACAGAGAAACTAGAGGAAAAGCCCCGTTCCTTGGAAGCCCGCAAGCCAACAGTGTCTTTACTAATGCAGACGTGGCCAGGCCAAGCGCCCGTAGCGGGGGCGGGCTCATTAGCTGGAGCAGGACTTTGAACCAGCCCCGCGGGACAGGACGCTATTTCTTATTTGCATGAGGCCAGGAGTTTGTTACTGACACAGCCTACACAGAGAAACTAGAGGAAAAGCCCCGTTCCTTGGAAGCCCGCAAGCCAACAGTGTCTTTACTAATGCAGACGTGGCCAGGCCAAGCGCCCGTAGCGGGGGCGGGCTCATTAGCTGGAGCAGGACTTTGAACCAGCCCCGCGGGACAGGACGGGTGACTGCAGGGCAGGCTCCCCGCCACAGAGCACATCCGCTCGATCTCCCAGCCCCCTCCCTATTCCTATTGAGGCACAACGCGGTGCTCGGCCCCTCCCACGGACACACGCACGCCGCCAAACCAGGGCTCCGATCCCGGCGTGCAAGGCGCGGGGGCGGCATTCTCGGCGTGAACAGCACGGCCCGCTGGGAGTTGTAGTCCCCGGGCGCCTCATTCCAGCCTCTCTGCCGCGGGGGTCGCCCCT